AGCTACCTGGCAGGGAAGAAACAATTGGCCGGGTTCCAGCTTGCTTTCTCTGTATCTTGCAACCAAGGCACATGGTGTCTTATCTTTTAATTCTGGTGGGTATCTGTTGTGGAATATTCCTTTATACTATGTGAAGGTGTGTCACTGTGATTAGTTTAATAAAGAGCTGAATGGCCAATAGCTAGACAGGAGGTGTAATCAGGACTTGTGGATAGAGAGAGCTCTGGGAAGAAGAAAGGCAGAGTAGCCAACCAGACACAGAGGAGGCAAGATTGGCCTTTATGGAGTAAAATTAATCAATCTGCGTAAAAGAATGAAGATTTAAAAATATGAGTTAAGTTATAAGAACTAGTTAGGAGCAACTGTAAGCTAAGGCCGAACTTTCATAAGTAATAAGAAGTCTCCATGTGGTTATTTGGGAGTTGGCATGTAGGACAGAGCTTGGCTACAGGTGACCAAGAATGCTGAGAACCTATATTGGGGCCTCTAAGACCAATAGCTTATAAGGAGAGATTTTTTCATTCGACACCTGGAGTTTTGTTTAGGCAGCCCATGGAATAGTAGAAAATATCTGACAGGACTAACAGATTGTACAAAGAACTAAAAAAACCCAAAACTTCAAGAAAACAGTTTAATTTAAAAATGGGCTTTGGAAATGAAGAGAGGATTCTCAAAATAAGAAATATTAATGGCTAATAAATACTTTTAAAAGTATTCAGCATAATTTGGCTACCAGGGGAATGCAAACTGAGACAGCTTTGAAATTCCATCTCAGCCTGGTCAGAATGGCTGTTATCCAGAAGTCAGATGACAGCAGATGCTGTTGAGCTTATGGGGAGAGAAGAACTCTTATTCACTGTTGGTGGGAGTGTGGACGGGTACATCACTATGGAAATCAGTGTGGAGGTTCCACAAAAAGCAACACATGGACCTACCATGTGACTCAGCAATACCACCCTGGGCATAGACCCAAAGGCCATTATATCCTCCTACAGAGACCCTGGCCCATCAGTGTTCATTGCTGTTCTTTTCACAATAACCAGGAAGTGAGTCAGCCTAAGTGTCTTGTCAGCAGATGAATGGCTGAAAGCAATGTGGTGTATACAAAAGGGAATTGTACTCAGCTGTAAAGAAAAACAAAGTTTGCAGGTAGTGGTGTGTGTGTGTGTGTGTGTGTGTGTGTGTGTGTGTGTGTGTGTGTGTGTGTGTGTGTTGTGTCCGTCCCAAGTGAGATGACCCAGGGCCAAAAGACAAAGGCCACATGTTCTCTTTCATATGCAGATCCAGCTTAGACCCTTTAGATCTGTGCTTAGCTTGGAGCATATGTAGAAGGAGCCAGAAGGAGCCATCAGGGACCCCTTAAGTGAGGGTGTCTGGTAGAGCATAGGTGATGGGAAAGAGAAAAGGGATAATGCTGGTGTGGGTTGGTGTCAGCCAGGGTAGGGAAGAAAAGGGTGTGGGATGAGAACGTTAACAAAAACAATGGGTTTATGAAAAAAAATATCAAGACCTCCAATTTTGTAATTCAGTTAGAAACATACATTTTAAAAAAAAAGAGAAGGGGGGCGGTCTCCTGCATGGCTATAGTGTTGCTTCTAGAAACCATTGTATAGTAAACTATTGCCATTTAAGGAGATTTGGAAATGGCTTTTGTTTCTGTCTTCTTCCTGGACTGTCATTTTGGGTGCATTCCATACCTTTGTTTGGACCCTGGTTTTGCCTGACTAACTTAAACAGTTTTTACAGTACAGATCCAATAGTGACAAATTCCTTTAGCTGGCTAGCTAAAAATTTATTTCAACTCAGTCTGAGAGGTGTTTTCACTTGATACAAGACTCTAGCTTGACTGTACAACACATGGGAGGCTCTCTGTGCCTCGTGTGTGTGTTGTTTTGATGGAAGGTCTAATCTGCTCTTGTCTTTGGTCCTAGTGCCCCAGGACTCTGAGGATTGTCTGCAGCCCTTTAGTGCTTGTTTTGGGGTTTTGTTGTGATTTGCCTCTGTGTAGTTGTCTTTATAGCTTGCAGAGGTTTGCTGAGAGTTTCCTGGTGTGCTGTCTGTACCTTTCGAAACATTAGAAAAGGTTTACCCAGTGTTCTTAGGGATTTGGGGCATCCATTTCTGTGTGGCACCGCTCCTTTGTAACCAGCCATTGGCAGGGAGGGTGTAGCCTGCCATGAGCAGGATAGAGAGTCTAAGGACAGGTCCTTCAGAGCCCCACAGCAGCAGCCCAGCCTGGCACATTTGCCTGACCCCACACCCAGCCAATAGAATTGTACTTCAGGAATCTTATTTTTAAACTTGGACTCCTGCCTTTCTGTTTTCCAGTTCTCCCTTATTTCTGTCATCTGTCATTTTGTTCCCAGAACATAGCGAGCACTTTCCTACCAGATGCTTTAATGGCCCTGTTCACCAATCCATCGTCTTCGTCATTTCTGAGTCAGCCTGATTTCCCTCTGGTTGAGGGTCACACTTTCCACTTGCACGTGTCTGGAAGTGCATCACTGGCTGCAGTGCACTGGGAGTTTTATGGTTTGGAATGCTAGATTTTGTTCTATTCTGAGACAAGTGTTAGAAGTTTTCTGGCTGCAGAGCAGTGGCTTGCACATCAGCGTTAATCTTGTTAGCACTGAGTCCCAGTTTTCCAGTCCTGTTTTGGGGGCCAGTGTGGCCTGAGATCTCTCTTGTGCTCTTGTGTGTGAGGAGGGTTCAGTGGGAACCTGTCTGATCCACCGCCTGTAGTGAGTATCCCTGGATTCATCCTGCTCATGACTCCTGGAGGCTTTGCCCAGCCCTATGTCCCTCTGCCAGCTGCATACATTTTGGCCTGTTCAGGTCAGGGACTCAACTTTCCAGTTTCTAAATGCTTCTGGTTGGAGGGGAGTGACCAGATGCAGCGGCACACCCTGTTGGGGAGCTGCTTGTTACTTGATGGCAGTTAGTCTGGCAGATCTCAGTTGCCAGGCCCCAGTACTGGAACCCAGGGCCTGGAGGCCCAAGTCCAGCTTTTCTGCACTGGCTGCTTTGAGGTTGAGGTGTCCTCCCGACTGACTGTGGCATGTAGAGGGAGGCCCCTTGACAACTCTCAGAACCCCATTTCATCTTGTTACTTAAACCCAGAAGTCAGTGGCTTCACTTGGGATACACAAGATGACACTTGCCACTGCCTTCCAAGCTCCCAACTAGACCTTGGTGAAGCCACCATAGCCACTTTGTACACAAGTGCATGAGGGCGGTGCCTTGTTTGCAAGGACGGGCAGTGGGCCGGGCTTGAAGTGTGGCCAGTTGGCTCACCCTGCGGGTGGGAGGCCCTCAGAGACCAAGAGCATGGTTAGATTTTTTAAGGAGAGGAGGTGCTGAGTCAGCTCCCATGCCTAAGCCTCAGCACAGTAATCCAGACCAGCTTCCCCACTGTCAAGTTAGGCCCATGCAGGGCTGCTGTCTACACCTGCTCTTCAGGCTGTTTTGCTTCAGCAAGCAGTTCTGTTTCTGGGAGTTTATCAAAGGGGAAGCGTTATAGGGAGGAGTGGGGGCTGGAAACATCCGGGCTCGGCAGCACAGGTCAACTCTCAGGCTGGTGTGTGTAGACTCAGGCTCAGCACCTCTCCAGAGTTGGGAACAAGTACAGATTCATGCTCTGTGGATGGAATAACTGTATGCTCAAGGCAAGTAACTTGCTCTTTTTGAAAATAAATACCTGCGTGTCCTGAAATATTCCAGAGAGCCCTGCCCTTCTGTCTCCAACTGCCCAGGGCCCTCCCCAGAGGCAGCTGTGCCCTGGTCTTCATTTGCAACCTTGTGATGATCTGAATTACTAGTTTAGAGTCACCAGGCCTCCAGCCCACAGACAAGCAGTTAGATACTGGGAACTTGGGGTGCTTTATGTATATCTGAGTGCTGTGCCTTCTCCCCAGAACCTGAGCGTACCCTCGCTGATTGTATAAGCCAATTAAATGCCCCCACACAAAGAATTCCAGAGAGTGGGTTTAGTGAATCAGTTAGTCAACATTGGTGAGACCCAGCAGGTCAGGTGGTTTTCAGCTAGTTTTTACTTGCTCTAGTTTAAAATTCAGGACAATGGTGGTTGAAAACCGCAGGGCTTGCCGGCTGATTGGCCGCTAGTGTAATGCAGACCCGCTCAGATCAGACATAACTGTGTGCATTGGTCCAACAAGTGAGAAAAAGCAGCCTTCTCTTGGGTTGGGTGGCAGTTGGAGAAGCTTTGTGTCTCAGTGGCTGTGAGCACACTGTAGCTCTGCTCTACTGCAGAGCCTCTTGCTGCTCTGGGGAAAGGTGGCGGGGGAGGGGGTGCTTCCAGCCTCTGCTTGCCCTCATGCAGCCTTTGTACGAGTAGGCTGCTCTTGGGGCTGTGTGGAGACTCCTCTTGTTGTACTGGGCAGGTTCCTATCATGCCCTTTGCCGGTCTGTAGTTCTTTCTGAGCCCTATGGCGTTAACACCTGGGTTCTTGTCTGTGACATCCAGCTGTCCAGATGGGGAAGGACAGAGCCATTGGCAGATAGGGGCTGAGGTCTTGATCCGTTCTGCTCCTGATGACAGCCCAGAGGCTCCTCCCACAACTCCCTTGCTTCCAAAGTAGTTTCTTGCCCGTGTTCCTGCAGACCTGCACATTTCGGTAGTTTCCCAAGGCCCGCGCCATCTCCATTAGCTGCCTGCTCACACTCTCCCTCATGCACTCGTCCAAGCCGGGACCCTAGTGAGCACACCACCGCTTCTCAAAGCTGCTCACTACTCCCAGTGGTCAGGCAGGCAGGCAGGGCACTTCCTAGACTCGGTCCCCCTGCCAGTTCTCGCTGAGTGCCGCTGCTGTGTCCTGTCCCTCCTGTCCTTATGACATCAGGGAGAATGCTACAGCAAGGCTGCGCTGCAGTGGATCTCTGCTCTCGGGGCTGCCCTGGGTACTGGGTGGGCAGTACCTGACCAGCTCTGGGGCTGGGAAGGTGGCCTTAATTAACAGTGTTTTAATGCCTTCCCCCCACAGCTGCCAGGCCGCAAGTACAACCCTGGGTACAATGCCGATGTGGGTGACAAGTGGATCTGGCTGAAGTGAGTAGTCCCCTCTGCCTAGCTGCGTCACAGCCAACTCTGAACTTTACAAGACAACAGGAAAAAGCAGCGATCAAGAAATTGTTCCAAAAAATGGTCTGACAAAAACAGTCTGCCCTGCGTCTAAACAGTTGATGAAAGATTCAACTTCCATTGAAAAGGTCCTGGAAGCTTCCAGTTTTATTTTGGAATCATCTGGGGAAGAAACAAAACAATGCTGGTCTGCTCTGGAAGAGCAGCTCCCACTGGAAGCCCCACGTCCCCAAGTCCTTCAGTCCCCTCAACGTCAAGAAATAAAGCCGGCTCTATAGCTCCTCCTCCTCCTGTGTCTGCACAACGTGCACATGCACACACACGTGCAAGCACACATGCACGTGCGCACATACACAAGCGCACACACATGCACATGCACACATATACAAGCGCACACACAGACGGACACCTACCAGGTGGTGATGCTGAGTCCTTCCATCCTCCCCTGCAGTTGGGGTCATTCACACACAATGTTGAAGCTGTTTGCTGAAGCCTTTGTCCTTCCTTTAAATGCACATTAGAGCAGACAGGGAAAGAAGAACGTCCGCACACTAGCAAGTGCCGTCTTCTAGAGCATGGAAGATGGGTACAGACACAGGTCTGATGTTGTTACCAAAAGTCAGGGTGCCGGTCCCAAGTGAAGAAAACAATCACATTTTGTCACCTGTATTGGAACTTAGGGGGCAGAGTCCTTGTGAGCTAGTGTCATTCATGTTGCCGTTTGGAAGTTCCTCTGTAAGTTGTCCTAAGTTGTGAGTTGGTACTGAGTCCCTGCTGTGGCTGCTCCTAGTACATGTAATTTACATTTAACTTAATTAAAAGTGAATGAACATTAGCACTCAGTTTCCTAGTAGCACTGGGCTCCATCAGGTACACACAGCACACTTTCATCTTCCAGAAGAGTCTGCTTGGCCTTACTGCTGTTGCCGCCGACCTGCCTTTCCCCTCTCTTCCTCCTCCTTCTGAAATGGGCTAGCCCTGGAGTGTCATGAACCCACTGAGAGGCTTAAAGAGAAGTCTTTACCTTGGCTATACTTCCTGTCCATGGCTAGGAGGGGCGCTGCCCCTGAAGCCCCGCACACAGACAGTGCTCTCAGCAGTGGGTACTCAGGGACTTCGCCATGTGGGCTGGCACGTGTGAGCACAGCCCCAGCCCCTGAGAGTCCACATGCTTCTCTCCCGGGGGCTGTACTCCCTGGGTGGAGCGTGACCTTCATGGTCTGCGCTGCTACGGAGGTCCGCCTTCCCGTTTCCCGTGTTCACTCTGTGTTGGGCCGAGGGAGAAGAGTCTGCTTTCGCAGCCTGCTCCAGGGTGAAGCCCTGCACGGGGGACTAGCGGGTGCTCTAATCTGGTTTCAGTGCATTACCTCATTAGTTTCACCAAAAATGCTTACTGCCCTTTAAAGCATATCAGGCAGAGATAAAAGCATGCACTTTGGATAACCCACACTGGCAGCCTCAGCACTTTGAGGATCAGGAATTAAGCACTGTCTCAACACTGGTTCTGTCTGTTTTCTGTTGAAGAGGAAGTCCTTGCGGACTTTTAACTGTCTTGTGGTCGTTGCCCTCCCCTCCCCTTCAGCAGAGCAAGGCTCAGCGGGTGGCAGCTGGCATGCTCCCCAGTCGTCAGCCTGCTGCCAACTGCAAGCCACCATACAGCCATGGAGCCGTGGCACATAGCTGCCTCACCAAGCAGAGGAGTGCAGTAAGGGTAGTGTGTGACTGCGTGGCCACTTGCAGGATGCAGGGTCCTGGACCTGCAGTCAGGCCACACATTGATTTAAGTGTGGGGTTATGCAATGCATCGCAGCAGAAATGAACTCTTCTTACTTTACATGGGCCCCTCGTCTAAAGCCTGTTGGCTCCTAATTGCTTGGGCGCATCCTGTTTTCCGATTACCAGAAAGGACTTCTGCCTTGACTGTTTGGAAGCAGGGTGTGCTGGCGCCAAGGATTCAGGCCTGCGCTGGGGCAGCTCTGCAAGGCTAGTGCACTTAACCACCCTACACGAGGCTTTGAAAGAAACAGCTCAGAGCGCTGAGGGAGAGCCTGCGGCACCCTGGGTTTACATTCTGATAAATAAAGCAGCCCCTGAGGGCAGTGCTGCTCCTAGGACCTGCAGCCCTCAGGTCCTTTCGTCCTGGGGGCTTTTTAGAGGCAAGCTCCCCTGGAAGGAAGCAGGTCCAAAATTTGACCAGAGAGTTTGAGGGAAAGTGACTTTCTCAGCTGCATGGCCCTGGGCTCCTTGTTGGGAGGCCTGAGCTCTGAGTTCTGGTGCATCTCATTTTCTCTGGAACTCTCATTGGACACCCTAGGACCAGACACCTCCACTAAAGGCTTACCCCAAAGGGTCAGTGGCAAGGGATCGTTGAAGCAGGCTGTCACTGACACCTATGAGATGTTGGCCTCTACTGGATTTTTTTAGTATTCTTCAGACAGGAAGCTGCTCAAGTCTACACTTTAAACCTGCATTTTCTTAGGAAGGGTGGTGCCAGCAGCGCTGGGATCTTTCTCTTGCTAAGTGCATTGGAAGCAGAGGGTTCCTGTGTTTACCAAACTCAGTAGCCTTGTGGCAGTGAATGGCCTGAGGGCCCAGGGGTAGAACTATATTCCAGTGGGATGTGAGACTCAGCCAGCAAGAAACGAAATGATGCCACCTTGGAGGAAAGAGAACTATGAAACAATGCAATACTAAGGACAAAGACACATGGACTGACTTCCCTCCTCACAGTCCCGGGAGGTTATAATCACTGCCTGCCTAGCCTAGGGCCACTGCAGAGGGCACAGCCCAGTAGCTGGTAAGATCTGTGTGTGGGATCCTCTGTCCCTCCTAGGCATTCCTGGCACTCCCCACACCCTGCCTTTAACCCTTTCCACCACCTGCCCCAGGGAGGTATTAGAGCCCTCTGTGCTTGCTTCCCTTCCTTGCCTGTAGGAGACAAAGGGAGCCCGAGTGGTCAGCCTTCCCTGCATGCAGGCTCTTCAGGATGTCCTTTAGAGGCCCAGGCTGCTCAGAGTGGAGCCGAGCCCTGGATAGGCAAGGGGTGAGGCAGAGATGGAGAGTGGACTTTCTTGGAGTTGGCCAATGGGAAAAGCACTGCCTTGAAGGGCCCTCTTGTTTGAAAACGGATGCAGGGATGGCTATACAGGAGATGGGTAGTCACAGCCAGCAGATGGGGAGACGTGTGCACCTGCCCTTAGTCACCTAGTGAGATTCCCCGCGGTGGCACCAGGACATGAGCCAGTGCATGAATAGCATTTGGAGCCATTCCCTATGGTGGGTACCTTGCTCAGTCTTGATATGGGTTGAGGGTGGGGGCCTGGCCCTGCCTCAACATGGTATGCCCGATTTTGTTGACTCCCCAAGGAAGGCCTTACACCCTCTGAGGAGTGGGTGGGGGCTTGAGGGGGAAAAGGCAGGGAAGGAAGGGAGGGGGGACTGGGGTTAGTATATAAAATGAAAAATCATTTTTAAATAAAAAACCACACTTTCACATCTTTAAAAAAAATTACCTCATTTCAGCAAGCCCTCAGTCAAAGCAGTTATTTTGACAGGGGTCATTTTGTCCTTAGCCTTTTAACCCACCTGCTGATTCCCCACCTTGATTTCCCCAGTGCTCAGTCTCGAAAGAATGGCTGCCCCAAGCAGCCCAGGTAAGAAAAGAAGTGTCCTGTCTTCCTTATGAGACACAGGACTCTGAAGTCCAAACTGGAGTGGGCGTGTTAAGGGGGAGCCTCCTCACTATCCGCATCACAGCCCGCCTCCAGGCCCTGAACTCACTTGTCACAGGACAGGAGAGTGACCCACTGAGGACCTGCAGCCACTAAGAGGGAAGCACCTGCCTTCCCAGGTGCCCCTTGGCACACGACTACTCAGGTGTCCTGTGTGGTGTTCCTAGAGACACTGAATGTGAGTGTGCTGTGTGTTCCGAGAAGCACCCCTGATCTCTGCCTTCTTGGCACCTGCACATCTTGGATGTGAGCTCTCAGAGTAGCAGTAGGAGGTAAGAAGGCTTCCCTATCATGTTACACCCTACACTGTATGCACTCCCATCAGCTGGAAACAGCTGTGGCGCCTGAGCACAGGGTCCCCACCCAGGACCAGGCCACAGATGTCGTATTACCACCCCAGGATGAGCAAACAGCCAATGCCCAAACACACCCTCCGGCTACTGCCTATGGGAAGTGTCTCTCTGGGGCATGAGTGCCCTGCTGGTATTCAGACCCTGATTAAGGGGCTCCTGCTGCTGTCATTGGACTCTTGTTCTCATGCAGCGTTTTCAAAGTCCTGAAAACCTGTGGACTGTACAGTCTGAGGACGGACCCTGGGGAGGTCTGGCTACCCAGACTGCTCAACCTGGAGATGGGCTCTGGGTGAAGAGAACCGTAAGGTCCACACAGTGCACTGGGCCCTGATGCTCAATGTGAGCTACAGCTTGTGTTTTCCCACAGCCTTGGATCTCACGTGGCAGACCCCTCAACTGCGTGGATTCCCCGTGCAGACCCCCCCCCCGCCTGTTGTCAAGTCTCTGCAGCCCTGAGGTGCCCTGTGACAAGCAAGGTGACCCTGGTTAGCTCCGATGTCAATGCCCAGTGCTCCCTAAGTCTAGGAGGCACCCCCTTTCTCTGGTCTCCTCCTTGGCCTAAAGTGAGTCTTTTGGCAGGGCTGGTTAGGAACCAGCAGCTGTTGATGGGGAGCCATCTGGGAGAAGGGCGAGCTGGCTCAGGGAGCCCTGGACAATAGTAGGGGAAATTGCAGGAAATGGGAAGAAACAGCAGATCCGGGCCCTATTTTCCAAGCTGCCAAGCTTTTTGAATCTACATATAACAGGTATAATTACATCTCTTCCTTCTATAAACACTTCCAGATCATTTTTTCCCTTTTTAAACTGGCCAGCATCCCACCCTTCTTGTCAGCAATGCTCAGGCCTCCTCTCTGGACTTACAGGCTTCCAGAAGCATCGACAAGGCCAGTGGGAAGCCAAGGCGGCAGAGCCTGTGGGCTGCCGCCACCACAGATGCCTCTGGTGTGTGCTGGCCTGGCACAGCTGCTGTCCTTCCTGGCCACCTCGAGGCAAGGTATGGTCCTTGTCTCCAGGCCACCAACTAATTACCTTGATCATGGACCTACGGGTGTTTCAGGTTCAAGGCATCTGAAAAGTGATTTCCTAGGTACCTGTGTCTTAGCGAGAAGGAGCCAGAATGCCGATCATCTCCTGTGAGTCCAGCTTTGGCCTCAGAAGCCTTAGGGACAAGACAGCATCAATAGGTTAGCAATCAAGTGG